GCGGGTATACTCTTTCCTTTGTTCCTATTGACTAAATACCTAGGAGTGGAATGTTAGGGTCGTGTGTTGTGTTCACACTGGGTTTTTAACATTCATCTTTGTAATTTTAACCTAAAGACACAGATGTGTTCTGATACAGGACAGATTTCTTATTAAATAGTTCACGTAAATAAGTAACCATGCTCTTCCCTTTGCCTTAGTCCTTACACTTAGGACAATGTGAGAAGAACTAGATCAATTGCCCTGTGCAAGTAGCTGGACAGTAAGGAATAAAGAAAAAAAATATTTTTATCTGCTTATTAAGGGCCAGGCAGCAGCTGCACCCCAACTCTTCTGAAAGGGACTTCTTACTTCAGCCCTTTTGCATATATATAAAATCTCTCTTGAGAGCCATATGGCCCCTTGTGACTCCGTTTTTATGCCCTAGAGATGTCTCTAAGTTCCTGGAGCCCATTCTTCTTTGCTATATAAATACTTATAAAATAGCCCCTCCCTTTCTGGCACCTGGTAGTTCTTAACCCAGAGCCTAGTCCAGCTGTAACCATTTGACCAGAAGGAGGAATTTTACCATCTCATTGCCTCAGAGCAATTAAATAGACAAAAAGCTTCAGATCTAATTATCATGGTATATGAAAATATTTCTAGGAAGCTCAAGCATTTCATAGAAACACCGAGGAATATTGATTGGCAAGTTTTATTTTCCACAGTGTATATGCTTAACTTTTTAAGAAACTGATAAGCAATTTTCAAAAGTGGTTATACCATTTTACATTCTCACCAGCAATGTTATAAAGGTTCTAGTTTTTCCACATCTTTGATGGTATTGAAGGCATCAGTCTTTTAAATTTAACTTTTCTAGTCAATGCAAAGGGGAATTTTTAGGATGAAATCCTAGATAACTGATTTTAAAACTTTATGGGTGACACAGCTAGGCAAAAACTAAATGACTTTAAACAATTACCCCCAGGCATGGATGCAGGAGGAGGAGTGGTGGGGAGCATGACTGAAGTCCCACACTCTTGTCTCCCTGAGCCTGCATAACTCACGTAGCTCAGACTGCTCTGGAGCTATTTTCTTTTCTCTACCTACCTGAAAGTGTTTAGTGTTGGTTTGGTTTTGTTTCCTCACAGAAAAGGAGAAGGCAAAAGGAAAAGAGTAAAGGAGAGAAACCAAGAGAAAAGAATTGGAGGTAGTGAGGCAGCTCCATCACAACACAATGCTGGGGAGATGTTTTGGAAGCCAATTTGGCCACAAAGCTGTCATTCTACTCTCCTCTTTGAGAACCGCCAATATCCAGAGTCAGCTTGTCACCCAGTGAGCTTCATGTTTGCAGAGACACTCTCAACTGCTGTCCAAAATCTGCTGCCCAGCTCTGACACTTCCATTTTGAATACCATGGCCCGTCTTTTGTGCCAATGAAGGTCAGGACCATACCTAAGCTTCAGGCTATTTGATTTAGGATTTGGACAATTGAAAGATGCTCTTGATCAGAACAAAAACAATTTACACCCTAATAAAGGTAGTTTGAAATTTTCCTTTGATCCTCCAGAATGGTGAATAAAACACCCATGTAACCTTATTTTGCAAGGCTGTTCTCTGTGTTAGAACTCTTTAGAACCTCATCTGCTAATCATTAATGTACTTGCAACATCCAAGTTAAATCGCCAGATTTTCTCTTTTTTTTTTTTTTTGAGGAGCTACTATAAAAAGGTTTTCTTTTCTCTGAAATTACACGCTGAGTTTGAAAGGTACCAGACTTTTGTTTGAGTTCTACTATAAAATGTTGTCTGGGTTGCTACACGGCATGGCGTATGGTTGAAATTCTTTTTCCTTGATTTTGTTTCATATTGCTTTAGTTATCACTCCCAGCCTTGCTACCATCTACAAATCTTAAAACATGCCTTTATCTATCTTCCTCCTGGTTATTAATTAAATTTTTAACATGACAGGGTAAGCCAACCCACTATAAGGCTTTTGGCTAAAGACTACATCCACTTTGCAGGTTTGATATTTATTAACATATTTTTGGACATTCTAGTTAAATACAAATTAATTTTCCTTTCAAAATAAAATTAGGCCGTTCTTACTTTATTATCTTACAAATTAAAAGAAATGGCATCTCTGCTAGGGGAACATTTATACCAGCTAATTTATATGGGCAGACATTCTAGTTTAGTCTCACACCAAAACATATCATTAATTTCATTCATCTGTCTCGGGCATTTTAAAGTATTAATTCTCCAGTTACTATCTTTCACATGCTGTTAGTCCTGGGTAATGTTATTTTTGACTTCACCTAAATAGAAACTGTGCCTCAATCTGGCATAAAAAAGGTTCATGTCTTTCTTCTTTTTTGACAGTCTTGCACTATTTTGATAACATTCATAATGTTTATTTAAATGGTTTTTTAAAGATGTTTCAATTGCTTTATGTCTAGTATTGTTATCAGCATACGTTTGCAGTAATACAGAAGATACAATAGTTACACAAAACTCATAGATAATTTTGTTTACCTTTGTAATTTAAATCCTAATTAGTAATTCAATATGCCGTTGATATTGTTTGAACTCCTTAATAAAATCATTCCTAAAATTATAGAAAATTTCTTATTCTCAGACTTTACTTTTAATTTCTGCATATTTATGCTTACATCAAACCAGAACTTCTTCTTCTTTCTTATATGAATTTTCAGCAAGTTATGTATGTATAAATGTGTTATTGCTTCTTAATAAATTATCTGTACACTATTATGTGCTTAAAAGCAACAATTTATTGGATCTAGAATTATGAATTAAAATTCTTAAATTTTTTCTCCCTCTGCTAAATGATTGTATAAAATAAAATAAATTCTTTCTTTTCTGTATTCTGGATAATCTGGTTTCCTTTCCTTTTTCAGATTCTTATATGGTCTACCTATCGTCTACCTTTTCTTATCCTCAGTTGTCACTCTCTGTTCTCCTTCTTGCCTCTTCCATTTTAATAGCCCCTTGATTACTTTAGCCACATTATAAATCCAAGAAATCTCAATCTCAAATCATTTTATTTTAACCTTATTCTATCTACAACCTAATTCCTCTTGTCTTGGTAACCTATTATATCACAATTTCTTTGTTAGTATTTTATATTTTATTTGTAATATTATTCCCTTCCTGATAGCCATTTATTACTTTTTGTTTTTAACACTTACATATATGCCTTCTGTTGCCTTTTTATTCTCTGTTAGAATTGTTTTGCCCAATATGTGCTTCATTGTGTTTGAAAAAACCTATAAAATATAATG